TTTTATATGGAAATTGTAGATCTCGTCGTCCTCTACAAGAAAGGTCTTATACAATTTTCCCATAGATTCAACGGTTTAGGAGTAATTAAGAAAAAATGAAATTTTTTGCCAAAAGTTCGCCGTTTCGACGCTGGGATGGTCGGATTTTGTCAACATCAATAAAATGCCAAATAATCATACGTAACTCGTTAAATATCGAAGTTAGAAGGAAAACAACTTTTATTTGAAGCATTTTTCGCAATTTTGAAAAAAAATTTTCGTCAGCGTCAATACTTAATTGGATATTTCCTTCTATACTTTTTAGCACGTAGCTATTTATTATTAGCATTGTTCTTCCGACGTCTGATTTCTTTTTAATTATAGGAAATGCGTTTTTCTAAGGTACATGAACTTTTGGGATTGACTGTATAGCCAATATATCTTTAAACGGGCGCACGGTGGCACTCTTTGGATTTATCAACGATATGAATGGAAAACTAGCAAGATTTCATCTCTTTGATTCACTACGAGAGAGATCAGATCGGTCGAATCAATGGAATTTACGTGTGACTAATAGAAGAAATTTTAATCGAAGTAGAACTGTTTGAGCCAGTGAGATAAAGCGGCGACGGAGATGAAAGTGTCGGGGAACGGATGATCAACGAATGGAGCGATGGTGAAAGGGACGAAGCGTTGAATCGGGACTTAGACGATTCAGTGGACGTCCAACGTCGACTTCTATTCCGGTTAATTCACAGCATCGATCCGAAATAATGCACGGAGAGGAGCTTCCTTTATTCCCACAGCAGAAGAGGAACTCCGCGTGCATCGACCAGAGAGGGAGAGGAGAGAGCAGTGTCACGCTCACAAACGGCAGCTTCCCTTTACCGTTCCATTCTTGGCCAGCCTTTGTCCCGGCCCCGCCTTCCACTTTGCTCGAAACTGCCGCCGGTTTCCCGGGGTCGGAGACGCTTCCCGCTCGGGACTTCTCGTGGAAAACTCGACTCGGGAAACTGTGTCACAGGGAAATGGGCCGGACAAACCAAGAGTCAACGCGCTCGTCTCTCGTCGCGCGTTCGTAACGCGACACGCCGAGGCTGACCTTGCCGACGGAAAAACAAGTTGCTTGGCCTGCTACCAGATTTTCGCGTTATTAATAAATCCAAAAATGCGCTCATCGTCCGCGTTCATTAGCATCCGCCGTCGCGATCGCCTCTGGAGGCTTTCGAGAGTCGACGGTCGATCGGCGATCTCGACGATTTCGATAGAATCTCATTCGTTTGAATTCTTTTCGAAGAAGTCGAATCGGATCTCGATTCCTCAACGAATTTATGAATCGCGTGACGCCCTAACGCGACTCATAGTACTTAGAAGCACTAAAACATCGTTTGCATCGATCGCGTTTTTCACGCCCGGCTTTTTCGCGTTTCAACGAGCTGGTTAATCAATTTATCAAACGCTTTCGATTCTTACGTGACGATTCGCATAGAAACGGAGCCTCGGTCGTACAAAGGGAAGAAAACTCGACTCTGTCAGACGTTTAACGAAGTAAAGTGACCGCAATTTGCCAGCGTAACTCTTTCGGTGGATATAAACTCGCGGACGAGATACAGGCAACTGGCTAAGGGATCATTTATTAAATTCAGTTTCCATGGAAACTTTGATGGAAAATGAGATGACTCAGAGAGCGTGCCTACGGTGCACGTGTAATCTGAATAATTAATTAATTTATGCGACTACGTGGGCTAGCCGGCGAACCTCGTCTAATGGGGCAAACTTCAATGGCGCAACGTGGTTGGCTGGAAATCGCGAGATTCATATGTGACTCGCACGACCGTGTTTGGAATGATCGACAGGATGTCTACCTTCGATACTCTGATCGGTACAAGAACGGATCGCACGGAAGGCCGAGAGAATTTGTTTCGAAACGAACGAGAAGTCGCGACTCACTCGATTCTAACAATGATCATTGATCGACCGCGATCGATGCATCTTGAACTATGCACATAGACAATATTTGCTTTACGACTGTGAGGATTTTATCAGTGGTTAGATAAATGATCGTTAAACGCTCATTGCTCGGTCTGAAGCGTGAGATACGTTACTGAGAAGCGGATATCTTAACGAGAACGCGATGACCTTTGATTGGACAAC